TTGTTCTGTTTCGCTGTTTCACCTTGGTTTGATCTGCTCTTGGGTGGGCGTTTCCAAATTTATATATATATATATATATATATATATATATTTATTTATTTATATTTCAACTTGTAATTCTATTCTGACGAAGGTTGTTTGAAACCGAAACGTCAATAAAAGTAAGTGCATTTAGTTATTTGTTGGCTCCACCGATAACCTCATAACACAAATATGTCCCTCAATAATGAGCAGTTAACCAAGGCTTGGACTGAGCTGACTGTGTTGTGTTTTGCAGTTTACCGCCCCTCGGCCTGAGTTGACTCATCACTGTGTTTTGTTTTATTTTGAGCGCGGCTCGGACTGAGCCGACTGTTATGTTTCAGTAATCAGTATTACCGCGCCTGGAACTAAGTTTTGCTGTTTTTCAGTTTTACCGTGGTGGAATCATCGACGTGTGGTCGTTCCTGTGCCGCGCCTCGGCCATCGACCACGGAGTGCTGCTCGTCGGCTTCGGAGAGAAATGTGAGTGATTCTGACCACTTCTAGCTTCCAAGAGAAGGGTGGGTCACATAAGGCCACCTGCTGAGTGAATGGTTAGAAGCGCCTCCTCTTTACTTTAGGGAGTTAACAGGTCAATGCGTGCATCTATTCTTTAGTGGATTCGGGGCGGATTTGCTTTACGCGACTCGCATTATTCTGAAGATACGGACTTTGGTCCGATCACACTGCCAACAGGCTAATGATAAACTTTGACAATTCTAGGTGAAAACCACTTAGGGAAAGTAGAGCCTTCCCATCCGATACGCTGTCTTTGTGGAAGTCAACTCGTCAGAGCGACGCACTTTCCCGTGTTTTGCAGCCTATCCGGTGGTGAATAAGACGAAGCCGTTCTGGATTGTGAAGAACTCGTGGGGTGCCGACTGGGGCGAACAGGTACGTTTTGCAGCGGCGACTGTGACGCTTCCCTCCCTCTCCCCTCCCGCTGTAGGGACAGCTGGTGAACGTCGTATGAAGCATCCAGGGTTCTGTGTCAATGTGTACATTAGGGACTACTCATAGTAGCTCACCGTTTTGCTAAGTGTTTCAGTTTTGCGTGAGTTAGGACTTAGGATGATCTTATAACACGTGTTTTTGGGAAAAGTGGATGCAAAAGCAAGTACTTCATCACCAATGTCTAATTCACGGTGCATCAGTGGGCGTTAGGAAGGTTTGGTTGGATGAAGGGGAGCTGTGCTTTTGTATGTTCCCCCGATCGCTGGTAGCATGTAGACTGCACTCTGTGGTACTGTATCCCTGCTGACGCCTGTGTAACCGTGCTGTGACCGCTCCCACAGGGCTACTTCCGTCTGTACCGGGGCAGCGACGAGTGCGGCGTCCAGGACATGGCCTCCTCTTCTATCGTGGCCTGAGCACCACGCTTGGCACGGCACGGGATGGGAGGGAGCGGCCGCAGTCCCGCGGCCAGCCGGACTCAGTGACCTATCCCGGTCAGCGGCTATGGGGCAGACTGGGAATTATTTACTCATACACAGATTAGACGTGGCTTCAAGTATGTACAGTGATTCTCAGCGCTATTGTTGGTCCATCGATAGATGCTGTGGTGATTTTTTTCAGACGTGTTTGATACGCTACTGCATCCAAGTGTACGTCTTTTATATTCAGTGGCCCTTATTTTGGTAGATATTCCATAGAAAATGAGCTTATTTTTATAAGTCGTATTATGAATACTTCAGCTGAGATTATACTACCTTTTTACATATTTTACCGTCTACGTTATACTTACACGTTTTATATGATTCGCCGTTTGCGAGCCTTAGACGAGCCTTAAATAGTGCGCTACTGTGCTCCCTTGGAATGTATGCTGTATAGTATTAGTGACTTGGATTTGGGATATGTGCCATTAGTTATTCTTCAAGCCGCAGATATATTTTAGCGGTAGATAGCAGTGGTGGCTGTGGGATAGCGTATGTACCACTCTTTATAGGGAAACAATATATTGGACATCATGTTTTTGGAATAGTGTTTAGTGGCATTTTGATTTGTAGTGCTCATGGACGTGATGTCTTTAATATTAGGTCTGAATTTTTTCTTTAAAAAAGTCACTTATAGTTTAAAAAAAAGCTTTCACTTCTGTCAAGGCCGAGGTTCTCACTGCCCGCACTAAGCAGAGACTGTCCAGTGTCCACACCACATGGGTAGGCTGACCAGCCCTCTGCCACCTAATCGCCGGTTGCTTATTCCGGACTTAATGACTGAAATTTATACTTTACCGCCAGTGATGGCGCTACGGTCTATCGGGGTCCAGTGCACTCATTGTCAACAACAACGTTCGAGCTGGCTTCGTAAAAGTACGTGGAATGTAAAAGCGTAGTCTGTTTCCCCTGGACGGCATGAAAAAGAGATTTGTTTACACACTTTGACATGGTATTGATAAGGTAATGTATTAAAGGGTAATTTTAGCAGCCTATAATTCAGCCGGAAGGCTTCGTTCATATTAGCTAATAACCATTAGGGCTTTTCCACCGCGCGAGGGATCAAATTTTTATTCGTCGGTGCGGAGGGCGGTGGTTTTTGCTCTGGTTCGGGCGGCCGCGCCCTTCCCTCGATTTGATGACTAAGTATAAAAACGGCGGCAGCTGACTGCCGAGCTGCCTTATGTTTCCCTAAGGAATGCCAGCCACCCGCCGGCCGGTCGTAAAAAAACGGCCCGTTTTTACCGAGCGGCAACGGCTGCCGTGGTAGAGATATAGTTCGGCGTGACAGGCAAAGTTGAACAATGGGCGGCGATTACCATCGGGTTATGGCCAATAGTCTGTGCTTCTGGGTGCATTCTTGTGAAATGTGCTCTGATATGGACAGGCACTTAATCGACATTACGGCAATTCTCATAAAACTGAGGTTTTAGAAACCAGTAAACGATAGAAGAAAGCCATGCAAATATCGTAAAATATATAGGCATGAGACACTCTTATGTTACTCGAAGAGGAGTACGAGTGAATATTGTACATGTGCCGCTGTTTGACGTGCGATTGTCCTGTTCCATCGATCCTGAGTGACAATGATGGACCTTTCGGAGGCTCGGAGCAATTGATGCCTTCACGTTTCGAGCTGCAGGCGCTTTAAGATGCAATTACCGAAATCATGCTTTGCCAATGGCCATTTTTCCCAATCCCTACCGACAGTGTTTATGAAGTAAATGGCAAATACACTACATATTTTACCCATGTAAAATTTCAGCCTCCTTCACATTTTATTGCTTTCCATGGGCTTATAATATAATGGTGATATGTATAACTCGTAAAAGTTGTGAGGACTCGAAAGCTTGCTTCTTCCTAGCGTGAGACTTCTGGCCACTGAGGGTGTCGCACTCGCAAAGTTGTAATTTTTTTACTGTGCTGAGGGTCACTTTATATTCAATGACTAAACCTGACCTGACCTGGCAGGCTGAAAAATACGGCTGCATAGTGCATACGCGATTCGAGCGATGACGAAGCAAGTCGTCGGGGGTAGCAACTAGCAGCAACCCTACCGGCCATCTTTATTGTATTGTATTGAAAAATAATAAGCGATCCACATATCTCACCTAATCCGATTTAAAGTACATGTCGCTTTAACCCTCGCCCGTATTGGTGTTTTTCCAGCCGCGAACGTATAAGGGGGGGTCCGTTGGACCCCCCCCCTTGCCGTTTCGCCCCTGATCGAGCTAGAGCTTCGCGGAAATAACGAGCGTGTTGCCCGTGACGAGAGGAAGCCGATGATAACTAATTTTAAGGTTCTAGGTCATTGGTTGACCTTGCAGGTCAGGTCAATGACCCAAAAGTCGGGAAAATCGGGACCTGTTAGAACGTCGTAAAGTGTGGCTGCTATAGGGTTTTTCGGGGTGCTGATCACGAATATCATGTTAGTTTTGATCACAGATGATGTCTTCATGCATTTAGTCCACGTCGGGTCAGGTCAGGTCAACCAGTAGGGGTCCTGCCGAGTGCCGGGTATTCCTAGTAGGTGTCAACCGCCTCTGACGGCTTCGTAACATGTTACGAAGGCATCAAAACTACTTCGTAAATGTTCATATGGTTGCTAAATTCGAATTCAGCTCCAAAAACTGGCCTAGAAACATGTAAAACTCGAAAAAGTGAACCGAGGTCATCAAAGGTCATTGACCTGACCTGACCTTCAGATGACCTTGACACCCACTCTAATGCATGGAGGGCAACATCATATCACATGTTTGAACGCTTGAAACCACGAAAAGACTGCAAACGCGCGGCTAATGCGAGCCGACATACGCCGAATCGCGATTCCGGCCAAACATGGTCTCGAAAAGTAGGTCACAGGTCAAAGGTCATTGGGGTCAGGGTCATGAAATTTTCAGGGTAGGTGTAGAGTTGATTAACGCGAGGGTACTGAAAGTTTCGTCGCGATCGGCCGTTTTTTACGCGAGTTATTCGCGAAAAACCATGAGGGGGTCCGTTTGACCCCCCCCCCCCCCTATACGGGCGAGGGTTAACATAAATTTCTTCCTGATATCTAAAAGTAATTTATGAAAAAGATCCGGTAGTAACTAGCAAGGCTGAGATGACCAATTTCAATCACCTTTTATCAGCTTGGTAATTGATTTACTGGCAATCTTGTGTTAAAACGAGATGACTATTTGGCCACCAATCGATAGGCAAGGCCAAGTAATTGAATAGGTATTATGTTTGCCAATCTTGTTTCCCTAAATTTTCTAGCTAGCCTGCCACTCCTCACCCCTCCCCACGAGAATGATTTTGTAGCGGTACCCTCCTGCCAATAGGGTTAAAATTTAAATAATTCATCATTCGTGCACTATTCGCGCTGGCCGCCGCCGCCCTCCTCCATCCCACGGGCTCGCCGTATTGGTTACAATCGGGGCCGGCCGGCTGGCGAGCGCCCGGCGCCGCTCGCGGAGGGAGGCGCGCGTCTCGGCGCGGCGGGCCGGCCCGGGGCGGTGGTGGGCGGCCGGCGCGGCAGCGGCGGCCGGCGGCAGCAAGGGCGGCAGTTGTCGGAGAGCCGTCCGAGGGTGAGGGCCGCGCGCGGTGGTCGCGGTGGCAGACTGGTGTGTGAAGCAGACTCAGGCGATGCGGTGCTGACAACGTGACTCAGAAAACCGCAGCAGTGATGCAGATGATCGCTGGATTTATCACGGCAGGTGAGTTCTGGGCGTTGGGCTGTTCATCAGTTTCGAGGTGTCTTTCACGATAAGCTTTGCTGTGTTGTGTGTGCTCTCTGTGGCACAATAAGAATAGAAACGGCGCCTAGACTAGCATCTATCATAAGCCTTAGGTCACAGTGCTCAGTGTCAGTGTTTCATGCCACACGCCGGCCAGTCACGACTCCCGACTATTCGGTTTGTCGGTGACTGCACCGAGGCATTCGTCTCCAACCAGCGGGCGGCGACACGTCTGATCAGCGGCCTTCTCCCGTTTCCTTATTAAAAAAATGTGATCGAATAACAAGGTGATGGGCATCTGGCGCAGCCAGTGTCCCAGACTCTAGCCAGCAGTGGCGCCGCCTGTGCCGGTTGTAGTGACCACAGGCACCCCTGGCCAGCATGTCCGGCGCCTGTGACGGGCACTGCCACTCCCGCGGCCCCCTTCCAATCACCGCGGTAGTACCCAATTAGTGGGTGTTTCCTGGAGCCGCCACTCGGCGCCGGCCGCTGCCGCGTCCCCTGCAGTTTTTACTGTCTGTGCCAGGTGCGGCACCCGCACAAACGGCTATTTCACCTCGGGAACAAGCCCCAATAACTGGCACCGTGATTGTTACGGGGAGTTAGACGGGTCGTCAAATTAAAGGGACGCTCCTACTAGGGCCGTATCCAGATACATAGTCAGTGAGGAATGGGCAGATGATTCCTCCCTGACGCTAGCGCCAGGCCAGGTCCTAAAATAAAATCGCATCTTTGATCTGTTTGGTTATTTTTCTTTTATGTGTAATGTCAGAACCTCAATTTATACGGGTGAAGTCCGTTCATGCGCTCCTTTCTAGTTTCTTTTTATCTGCAATCGGCCAATGTCTCGGTATTTATTTGCCCGTCAGCCCAAACTTTAAAGCCAAATATGATGAGAAACGGCTCACCGTGCGCAAATCCGGCTCTCCGTCAACATCGACATTACGCTGCCGACTGACCTCCGTGCGACCCTTGGTGACCCGAGTGACCTTTAGCGACCCGTGTGACCCCGGCGTCCACCACGCGGCGCACTGAGAGGGGAGTGCCACCTCTGGGAGGAGCCGACACAAGCCACGATGACACTGCCGGCAGATACAAATGGCAAACTCGCGCCCACCGTCCCACCGCGTGCTGCAGCGTGTATGTCCATTTATCTGTCAGCCAACTTGCAATATTTATGACCGGTGCAATTTATTTGATCGACTTCGTCCTTCAACGACCACGTCCTTTATGGTGGGCTATTTTTCTCCTATATTTTCAAGCAACTTTATTTTGTCGCGGCATTTATTAATTGATATGCGGCTGTAGCCTGTAAGGTATCTGATATGGTTACTTAATTATAAACGTCTCGTCTCTCGCATTGCAATGAGGGCATTGTTGGGTGGGATAGGCGATGGCCGTAGAGAATCTCTTATATTCGTGCTTGCACTAAGTTCCAGTGGTTTTGAAAATGCCGGTTATTTTTCCCCTAAACCAAAGGAATGTGCACTGACAGATTACTGCGTGAATATCGGACAAAATACCTTGATCACGCTTCCAGACAAACGCGTTTTAACAAAAGGCCGCTTATGTTCATCGGAACGGGAGTTTCTTTGGCGGCATTATCGCCCTTCTATCGCCAGCTCGGTCTGTGTGCGGCTGGGGTTTTAGTTGCGCCCTTTTCTCTGGCGCCTCCCGCTGATCGGGTCTGATCCTCTGTCGTGCCGCCCCTGGCCGTCCCATGGAGCCGCCCTCGGCTATTCTATGGAGCCCGCTCCTCTCAGGCCTGCGCCTCATTGAGTCTGTAACGAACTCTCAATGGTGGCGGCCGCCGGCGGGATCTTGGAGCCCGGGTGAACAAACCGCCGCCTTAGCGCGCCCTCTTCGTACCCCGCTGGACCTCGTCGGGCACGGACCCTGTTTGGACCTCTTCGTGTCACCGCTTAGCGTCTCCAAAACTCCACCAATGTCCCGTGAGCTGCTCATTTTTTGTTTAGGGCCGCATTCGCTGTCTCCGGACGACGTAGAATCTCTGTCGTCCAAGAGGCATCGAATGCGGCCTAAATCCAGACTCGTGAGATCGATGCAGATACCTCAGTGCATATTTTTTTAGAACACTATGTCCCTTGATAGTCAGCTAGCCTTTTTATTTTGTTAGGCTTTGTCATCGTTTCTGCAAACTCGCGGAACTGTGTCTCATCGATGGCACTAAAAATAGTACCTTTGGTAAGTCGGCGGAGCGGTTAACCACTGTGAACTATCGTCACAGGGTTCGGCGTTACTCGTGTATAGGTACTGAGTGCATTGTTCTCTCCCTCTTCCCTTCTTTCTTTTTGCCACCCTCGAGGACAGCTGTTGGCAGGTCGGTGGCCCGACCCGCCCGACAGCTTGCGCTATGTGGGGAAGGATTAAGGATTGGGACAGGATAGAGGGGGGCATTTGGACCGCATACCTACAATCACTGCAGGTTATCGTACGACTCTCGAGCTCGGCCCCTCACAGCTGATACGTAGAGGAAGAGGAAATCGTTGATCTGAGGAGCTGATGAACTGGTGTCTGGTGAGGATGAGTCTTGACCTCCATCTTCGAATCAGTAGGTACTACTGTTAACGCCAGACCCCTTGAGACCCTAATTTTTCGCGATTACTTTTAAATGCGTGGAGGAATTTCAACCAAGCTCAGGACATGGCCGTTTCAAGACAGGCCGAAACTTTTACAATTTAGATATTTTATCGCCATTTCAATATTTCAGGCACTTGTCATTGACTCGTAATGTTAAATTTCGAGCAAGATTTTCATCCGGTGTGTAGAGGCTATCACCAGTCAGTCTGTGATACGTTATGACGTCACAGCTAAGCCCCGCCTCTGTGGTCTTGGCCTGCGGCGGTTTCGGGCCGGCGCGCGGTCACTCTCGCTGTGGCGGGGAGCGGGGACGGGCGACGGTCGAGCGGTGCCGAAAGCCGGCGGAGTTGTGCGTAGCGTCTTGGCTGACAGTGCCCAGAGAGCGACATGATGACTAAGGAGTCATAAATGCTCAATGCGCATTGCTTCTACAATGCTGATATGTTCGCTGATATATTTTTTTATAAGCTGCAAATGACGGGCAGATGGCATATAACTGACATAAGGTTAGGAAATATTCACCTGTATTTAAAGCCTATGGCGTTGCAGATAATGCGATAATGGGATGTCGGATGTCACCAAGTAGCTGCCGATTTGTACATCGCTATGCAACCATCGAACAACGCAATAATAAGTTAATTGCCTGAGCTTCACATCATACGGCTCGCTCGTATTTCAAACAGATACCCTACATCGAAAATCGTATTTGTTAGGAATCGTTAACGTTTGTTCGAAGCACGACTGAGTAGTAGGTTGAGGAGTGATGGTCCTCTTGGTCCTATATACAAGAGTCAACAAGAGCCTAACATTTACTTGACCGTCTGCTGCAATTGACTCATAGCACGTGAAGCGTCAGCGAAATTCATAGTCCTTCACAGATGGCAGGGGTGTCGTTTGTACAGAGGTCGCTGATGGGCACGGGTCAATGCCGCAGTCGTGGGCGGAGCCTAATGTCATATGACGTAGAAAGCCTCTATCCAGGATGGAAAAACAGTTAACATTACGAGTCAATGACAAGTGCCTGAAATATTGAAATGGCGATAAAATATCTAAATTGTAAAAGTTTCGGCCTGTTTTGAAACGGCCATGTCCTGAACTTGGTTGAAATTCCTTCACGCATTTAAAAGTAATCGCGAAAAATTAGGGTCTCAAGGGGTCTGGCGTTAACAGTAGGTATGTTGTTCTTAGTTCTTTAAGTAGGCATAACTAATAACTATTTCAGGTAGTGAGTGACGGCTCTGATACTCACCGTCTGCCAGCCGCGATAGGCGCGGCACGTATGCCAACAAATCTTCCGCGGAATCCCACACCGCTGACAGACCTGTCGAAAATGCACCACGGAGAAATGAACCCAGACGGGAATTGCCGCCAACTTCCGTCGAAACCGCCGAACACAATGGGAACACGACGCCGAACATTTTGATTACGGCTTGCCGTACTTCCTGTGGGAGACATGTGTTCTCCGTCCGCGGCTCGCGGCTCGTTCGCTCGGAGCCTCGAGTCAGGCCGGTAGCGTTACGTCATCGGTTCCATCATCTCAGGTGCACCTCAACCTGTCAGTCGGCGTCCCGGCTCGGCTGGATGAGAATGCATCCGCAGGGAAAGCTTCCCGTCGCCTTTCACTGGCTATGGAGAGAGGTTTGGAGGGAATGCAACCTCCCACTATCCAGATCGGAGCTATTGGCATTGCTGCGTGCCCTGTAACATCTTTGCACGGTCGAGTTGGTTGCGTACGGTCGCCGGTCAGGTGGATGACCCGGTATGTTCTCTGAGGGTTTCGTACCTCGTCCCATGGTGCTGGGATCTACACGGTCCGCTGCGCCCACCGGCCGTCACCATCGCGGCGGTGGTGGCTGGGACGGGGTATATCAGCCTCACTGGGGCGTCTCTTTGGCGACCACATCCTGCCCGGACGACGAACCCCTTCCTCCCCTGTTCAGCCGTCCATTCGCCGAGAAGTCACGTCCCGTCCCGCCCCTCAGTCCCTGGCCATTGTGTCCGGGCCCGGAGCGGTATCTCGCCCTCAGTCGAGGGAGGGTGGTGACTGGGAGGGCTGGCGACGGCCAGGTCCGGGCCACTGTCATAATATTGGCACCCGATGATACCGTTCTAAAAAGCGGCGTCTGCCGTACTAACAGTCTGCTAATGTTTATCATAAAAGAGAATGGGTGTGTTTTGGCCGGAGATGCTGTGAAAATAAACACTGACGCTTGTGCTCGAAACTAGACCACCGCGCCGGGGGCTCTCCGCGCTGGGTTCGGGGATGCAGTTGTCGACCCTGTCGTTTCGTCCCGCCTGGGACATGAGCTCCGCTCATTACCGCAGTGCCCGTAAACCTCCCCGGCCTCCCTCCCTTCCCTTCGCTCCCCGGGTCGGGG